CTTACTAAATGGAAACCGTATATTGGAAATAAACATGTTATAGTACGAACAGATAATACTGGAACTATGACAAGTGGCAAGATACCACGAAATACTACTATAGAAAGATGGCTTATAGAATTACAGGACATGAATTATACTTTGGAACGAATACCTGGAAGAGACAATAATATAGCAGATTGGTTATCAAGGCATTTAGGACAAACAAAAGATTCTGAAGAAATACCACTGAAACTAAAGATACAACCAAAACAAGAATTACAAAAAGATTATAAAGAAAAACAAGGATAAAAACTTTATTAATCAATAGAAAAATAAGAATATGGAGTAGAACACCTTGTATAATCACAAGGTTGATAACTAAATAAAGCATCATCATCACTGTAAAGACAATTACAACAAATAAAATTACAATCTCTACAACGAATGTAATCCCAACTAAAATTAGGATCTAAGTCCTCGTAAAACTTATTATCTTTATGATAAGAATTCTGGTCCACGGATGAATGACTATTAGAATTAGAAAAAGTATAAGAATCTACATCTATAATATCAATACATTGAAGAGTATCTACCTGAATAGTGTCAAAGTTATTTAAAGAAGAATTGGTCTCCCAATCCATACCGGTATTATGACGAGACACGGTATTAATGTCAACGGTAATAATATAGTCAATTAAAAATTGACCAAACTGAATATCTTCCTCAAACCAGTAAGCATCCAAGACTTCGGCAAAGTTATGACCTTCGAAGCACTCATTATCGTAAATAAACCATTTATACCCTGACAAGTTGAACTCGTAATCCGGATCAGTATCAGACATAAAATCTGTAATAACTTTTACAAGAAACTTATCAATAGTACTAGAGTCACCATGATAAGTACCCCAGAGATGCTCAGCAAGGGGATAAGAAATAAAGATTTCTTTGGTATTGACATCGATACGAAGATGGTTATAATCATTGATATTATCAGAAGAAGTATTATTGTTATTATAAGAAGACATTTTGGAATAAATAATAGTTTAGTTTTGAGTTATTGTTTACAAGTTATAATTCGAAATATTGGTCAGAACAAATTCCGATAAGCTGAAGTTATATAATAACTAAGGTAACACATAGTTACACCAGATAATTTTGATAATCTATAAATACGACGCGCAAAAAGGAAAAGCGTATAGATACCCTTATCTAATGGACCAACCGCAAACTTCACTTATACCATATTGCTGGATAGTAACACTAGTAATTGAAACGTGGATGATACAAGAAGATGCATTTACGCTACCAGAAGATATCTACTGGAAAACATTTGGATCATGAGAGTACAACGAATTCATTGATGAATTAGACGCCTGATAAACACGTAAACAAACGCGTAATATCCGAATAAACAAAGATGACTCACACACCCTCTTATCGAGAATTACAAAGAATCTTCGAATCAGAAATTCAAGCAATCGAATACTTACAAGAAAAAGAAGTACTACCTAAACAAATGAAATGCCCCAAAACATGACTCTTAATAATACCGTATTCGACTGCGTGAAACGCGCGTGTAGAAAAAGAATGTCAATATTTACAAACACAGTATTTTATGGCGCGAATACGCCATGTAATTGTATATTAGAAATAGATTATTTATGGATAATTGAGATGAAACATAAATCAATCAAAACATTCACAGGAATGTCACCAACAACAATTACACGATGGCTAAAGATTTTTAA